CACCATGATCCTCTCTGAAGTACTCGTATACCTATTAGGAGTAGGCTCAACTGACACGCATGGAAAATAAGGTGGAAAAATATAATTCCCTTATTCAACAGGCTTGCTCGTTACCCGCAGGTGTTTCATATTACAATACCAATTTTAGAACCGATCTTCCTAATCTTGCATAAGTACTCATTTCATGTAAATTTTGTAACCGACATAAAAATTAAGTAGAGTAAAATTCAAAACAAAATATTAACTGCTGGAAATTAAAACGCTAAAGTAATAATTAAGTTGCATTTTTCTTTTCTAAGTATTGTATCAATGGTAACTTTCATAGAGTTTTCATAGAGATATGGTAGAAACAACAGATTGTTAGAAACTAGTACAATGAAATTCAGATCGCTGTGTCCCGAACTCGTTATCATTAGTATTTTTTCCGAATAAAGAAAGGAACTTTTTAACACAATGTACAAAACTTCGATTCAGCTGGATAACTAGTAGCTAATTGACTAACAGTATTTAGTTATTTACCTAAACGTAAAACAATTGTATTTTCATATAGGGCTACAAAATGTTTGTATTTTAGTAAATCTGCTACGATGTCTGTCATAGACAGAAAGATAGTGCTGTAAGATTTGAGACTACACCATAAAATAACAATATCCCGCTTTCAAAATAAATACCTAAGTATAGCTTTAAGAAGCTCTCCTTAGCTTTAACGACCTGTAATGTAATTTAGCGTCCCCCAGGGGTAATGACGGCTAATGTTTAAATTCACCCGCTACGTCCGGGGAAGACCGGGAATTACATTATGTGTGCATTTCTTTATTATTTTGTTAATAAATGTGTTGTTATGTAATAAATTAGAGTGTTATGAAGAACTTATATTTTGAAACAACAGATGTGGATGTTACTGTAAAAGCTCGAACTACGGTTAATCTTAAGATTTAAGTGTAAGTCTTAGGATTTACCGACATGAGTTGGTAAATGTAAGTATTTCTGAAAATACGACGATTTTTTTGAGCTTTTACCATTCGAATTTAGTATATGCTAGGTTTTACCTCTGTCAGCTGGTAGATGTTGGTTTTAGGAATAAAACAATGAGTAATTCTTAATGGGGAATTATAAAACGATCGAATAAAAAATAACTTAGCGACTAATGATGGCATACTTACTGTTTTAATAACTTGAGCGGTATGAATTTGAGTAAGCGAAAAATTAACTTAACTAACGACGAATATTGATTAATATAATCAAATGCAGAACGAGCTTACAAAAAGTGGGTTATGTTTAATCCATTTTAGATATTAAAATTCTGTCCGTGCGACTACATTACTAAGTGAGCGACTAGAAATACAAAGAGGGCAACTTCAATATTAAGATAGATTCGATTTTTTCCAATTGAAGTAATTTCTGATGATGATGATGATGATGAGATGCGCTGAGCACGTTATGACGTTTTGTTTTACAACAAATCCTAAGATTTACTAACGAAATGGTGGTAAGAGTTCGAATCGCAAACCTTTTGGGACATTTACCATTAGAAATTGGTAGATCTTAGGTTTTACTGGAATATCTTAGGATTTACTGCAATTCGAGCTTTTACAGTAACATGGATACCACTAATCGAGTAAGTACACAAACTTTTTACTTGACTTCGCGATGCAAAGGAAGATAATTTATTATGATGAAAGCTACTTGTTTTTTACTTGGTCACAAAATCAGAAACACACTTTTGCTTCATTAAACATTTTCAAAAATAATGAGTAACAATAGAATATTAATATGCTGTCCAGTGTGAGTATGACGAATCACAAAATTTAATGCATGCATACTTCTTTTTATATGAAAGAAAATAGGAGCAATAGTAGCTAGAAGCAAATACGAGTATTCAAGAAGGAATGTTTTCATTCGATTAACTCTTTTCAACGAAACAAGACGGGATATGGCTACATGCGCCTAATGTTTTGGATAATGAGTTTAATGTGTTCTTAGCTTTACAGGCGAAGCATGAGTACAATATAATGACCCGAGCAATTACGCAGTATTTACATAATCATTTTCATCTGAGTACATTGTGCCTGGCAATAAAGTAGAGCTTAGTAACGAATCGTACGGGCTGTTTTCCACCAAGACGGATGCGACACAAAAAATGGTCTTCTTTAGGTTGATGGCGATGAACTTGCGTTCACAAAATGTGAGAAGACGAACGGTATGGCGGACAAGTTATTTCCACTAATGCGGAGAAGAATAGTGACATCCACGGCAGATATACAATACTGCAGCTGTTTTAGTGCTAATCTCAGTTAAAACTGCACCAAATTATCGTTTTATGCTTTTAAAACGTTTAAACGTCAAATACATTACTTCACAAATTCTTAAGTTGGCCGTGGATGTGACGATATGTGGAGCTGAAGGTTTCCTCTTATTCTTCAGAAGGTCATGTTTTGTATGGAAACGCCAAAAATGTATCTCTTTTCCACCCAGCTCAGCCGTTTCCACTGAAGCTGTTTTGTTTTTTGAATAACTATCTATTAGCAACAGCGCACACTGGGCGACAGTCGCGGCGACTAGACGCCTATTCTTGTCAATTTCATACTCCGCGATGACAAGCTAATAATTATATGAAATTGCCGCGTCTAGTCGCCGCGACTGTCGCCCAGTGTGCACCTACTACATTTAGGCTGAGTTGCACCACCTAAATTTGACCGTAACTGTAACGATAACCGGCGTTTTTTGTATGGAGTTTAACATATTTTTGATGTTTGTCAAAGTTAAAGTAGGATGGTGCAAACCAGCAAGCACCACCATTAGTTTAAGGCTGGTTTTAGAGTCACGCTGACCGTCGGCGCTGACAGCCGAAATGTATGAGGCGTCGGCGTCTCGGCGCCGAGCGATCAGCGTCACTCAAGAACGTTCCCTTCAATTACATATTGATCTGTCAGCGCCGACGATCAGCGAGCGGTCAGCATGACTCTAAAACCATCCTAAATCCTCAAGCTTTTACTAAATTTTAATGTTGTGCGTGTGTTTACCACAATGGTCCAGCGGCGACGGGATACGAACTACTGACCCTCGGTCTATTGCTTGTACTTGACACGTCTCGTTTCCTCTCTCTCGGTCTCCTTCTTGGTGGAAAACGAGCCTAGGTACGTCACAAGGGCTTTTTGTACGAATTTCACACCACTCACTTTTATTCCAATTCTGAGAAAAAGCAATCCCAACTAATATTATAAATGCGAAAGTAACTCTGTCTGTCTGTCTGTCTGTCTGTCTGTCTGTCTGTTACGCTTTCCCGCTTAAACCTCGCAACCGATTTTGATGAAATTTGGCATAGAGATAGTTTGAGTCCCGGGAAAGAACATAGGATAGTTTTTATCCCGGTTTTTGAAACAGGGACGCGCGCGATAAAGTTTTTCTGTGACAGACAAAATTCCACGCGGGCGAAGCCGCGGGCGGAAAGCTAGTTAGATAATATTCGTCGAGCCTTGTTGCTGACACAAACCATTTCTGTTATTGTGTACCAGGATATTAACGCTCTACACAATTGTAGATATTAATAGAAGTAAAGATCAAAATCAGAATTTAATACATAAGAATACATTATGAAAATCTATTTTAATGCACGGACATTAATTAAGTTGATTACAAGAAAAGCTAACGCAATAAAAAAGCGACGATAGCCGAATGGCAAGGTGTCGAGCCGAATTATGATCCGAGGAACTCGGGTTCGATTCCGCGCCACTCGACTATTGTGGTAAACCCACTCGTAACACAAGCATATTTAGCTTATCAAGAGGGGTTAATGGGATTTGTATTTACAAATTGCTAATATTCTACTTATTCATCAAAAGATATAATAAACAACCAATATCGCTATAAATAACACCATGAAGCAAATCAGAAAATTTTCAAGTTACTTGTAAACCAAATTCAATTCCTCTGCAACTTGGCTTTCGTTATTGAATTTGAGTTTTGCAAATTGAAAAGAGGTTATTTGCTGTTAACTTAGTTTTAAATTGGTTTAAGGTTGCTCCAAGACGTATCGGAGAACAGAACCACAAATCGAGTCAACATTCATTTAGCTCTCGGTTACTGAGAATTGAGGTGGTTATTACAAAAATATCACATTTTCGCAATAAAAATTACAGAATGCTGAATATATTCTTCTAGTAAATAACTACCTACAATCAAAATAATACGGTAGATATAAGTAAGTGTTTCTAACAATACACACAATCAAATTACTTGCGCGGTAAAAAACTCAACGTGTATCATAATTTAAACTCTTAGGAGAATATAGTATTAGAGGCCGGTCGATCTATTCTCATAAATAAAACACTGGATACTCATCTTTCACATTATATTGCCTTATTTTAGATACAATTCATCACTTAGCACAAAAGCGCGCGGAGTCGTCTCCGCGCGTCCCTCTATTCTGACGTTTGATGCTAGCGTGACATTGACGTATTGTCAATGTCACTATGACAGCATCTCATTGGCCACAACGATACCGTTATTTTAACGTTTTCGATTTTTCATAATTAACAGTTCGGCCATCCTACATTTCCTTCGTCCTCGAAGGTCTACTCTACTCATAGTACACTTGACGCCTCGTATTGGGATCCGGCCGTGCCACCATTCGCACCACACGCTGGCCGTGAACGCGCTCATAGGCGCCCACGACGTGCCCTGGCTCACGCGCGCCCTGTTGCTCCACNTTACTTATATCATCACTGACAACAAAACAATGTAAGTGAAACATATTGATGCTTAACATTGTGTTTGGGTGAACACCAAGTTGCTCCACACACAAATGCAACTTTATCAAAATAAACTTCTTGTTATTATCTTAGGTAACAGCACAATTGCAAATACTTCAATGAAGTTACCATCTTCAAAGCATTCACAAGAAATACCCAAGTGCTTTAAATAACTTTTTACTTAAGGCTGCTAGCGGCAGTTGGGAAGTTCTAAAGTCTAGCAGTAGACTTTAGCCGATTAATTATTACCACACTCAAGTTAATTGTATGCAATTTCATGCCAATGACAAGAATAAGCACAGTTAAACAACCAAGCCGCAGTGGCACTGCTAGTCTCAGCCCAACCCTTGCAATAAAACATTAATTCAACTCACCAAATATCACAGCTGATTCCTTTTGTATTACATTTTCACTCACCAAATATCACAGCTGATGCCCTTTTGTATTGCATTACCTTCTGTCCAACTAAAAATCACTTATGTGAAGTACCCTTGTTCAGTGTTCAGCTTCACTCAGGTATTGTGCTTGACTGATTTGCTCACCACAGGGCCAACCCGCAGACAGATAAGTCACCACATCTAAAACTCAAGTCAAATCTAAAAAATATGCACACACAACATGCTACAACCAGTAACCTTTTTATTCAACAGCTAACAAATAACCTCAAGATTAAAATCATTTTTACCATGCGACAATAATTAACAATAATGGCTGGTACACAACAATACCTTTAATGTACCACATTCTATATCTTTTATGTAATATCATAATTGGATAAATTTTGGTCACCTACACTTATTTTCAATGTTAGTAATACAATCCAAATGACTACTGGCATTATAAATTAATTGATAAGTTGGAGAAATTCAATATTAACATTATCTTTACTCAAATATAGCATCATGTAACATAATGTGTCTTGCATCTACAGTAACCAGGAGTACACAATAATTATGTTTAACAATTAATTGAAGTATCAATCATTATAAGAATACCAAAAATACACCACATGTTCAACGGCATAACTGGCTGCTTTACTTAATTTCAATTTACAAATTAAGCTAATTAATTTTATCTCATCTTATAGTGCTCAACATCAAGAAAGAAACACCATGACACTAAAACTGGTTTACACAACACAGACCTTAGCTTCAATTTACTTGAATAAAACTAATTATTAATTCTTCTCCAAAATAATGCCAAGAGGTTACTCGGGCATGATCACCAAACTTATTTAATTTATCTGACCATATTCTATCTATTCTTTATTGATTTTAAATCTCAACAGGTTATTCTTCGCAGAAAGCAAACATGAACAAATGAACACCGTTCAATTAATTTCATTTACTTAAATAGTTTATTAGGCATTGCAATTAAAGTGAGCACATACCATAGCTTTCACACACATTCCTGGCATTATCAGTAAAGACTGACAATACCTATAACATTTGATGCATCATTCACTTCCATGCATTATTTTGCTCAAAAAGGAAATGTGTTAATATTGTTGCTGTTGAAATAATCGATAATAATAATAAATCGTACCTGCTCTGGGGCCATCGTTAGTCAAATTGTTCACCACTTACGTGACCACAAGCCAAGTTACGGAAGGGGTATCTTCATAATTTGCGTCCATCATTTCTCGTACTTCAATACTTTTCTGCATCTCACACCTTTGTCAGCGTGGTTTCCTTGACATTCTCTCTTCATTATATTCAATTATAACCATAGAATCGTGGGCGTTTTGTGCTAATATTCGTGACAAATAACACGAAACATTGGTCACCTGGAACACTTTGAAATCACGTTACTATCATAGGTTTCAGATCTCACTTCTGAACTATTAGAGGCCGGTCGATCTATTCTCATAAATAAAACACTGGATACTCATCTTTCACATTATATTGCCTTATTTTAGATACAATTCATCACTTAGCACAAAAGCGCGCGGAGTCGTCTCCGCGCGTCCCTCTATTCTGACGTTTGATGCTAGCGTGACATTGACGTATTGTCAATGTCACTATGACAGCATCTCATTGGCCACAACGATACCGTTATTTTAACGTTTTAGATTTTTCATAATTAACAATAGATATTTGATGAAAAATTGTATTACAAAGCATCTTAACCCGTTCGGGATCGCGAATTCGGTACAATAATTTTGTGATGTCCGTACAGTAGACAGCACATCAACCTTTACATTTTTGTTGCCAAATAGCCTGTATTACAACGAAGTAAGATACCACTGTGTTTAACTTGATGTGCCTACGTAAGTGCATTAGCGAATTCTCAGACAAACGACCGTCCCGGGACGAACTTTTGCAATAGGTCTTTTTGTTTTAATGGCACCCTTCAAAGTTTCAAGCTAAAAGCGAATTGTTGTGTAAAAACTTCCTGCCAGCTTTGATATCTTTAAGTCCAGCTTTATCCTTTCAGAGCCATAGGTAATCTTCATTTTTACGACAAAAGAACATGTTTTGCATCATCTTCAATAAGAAATCTTAATTGAAAATAATTTATTTTCAATTCCTAACTTCTCAAATCTAATTCTTAAATAACTTCTTTTTAAGGCTTCATTGTTTTAAAGTGAAATACCTATAATCTAGTTACAGATACATAAATACATAGGTATTCTTTTTACTTTTGTAAATGTAGGCAACTCTAATTGACCTGATTTTCACTGGAAATAAACTCTTGTTCAGAATATAAATCCCTGGTTTCTGTCACAAATAAAAGTAACATAATGCATTCCCATTAGCCCCGTCGGTTGAAAACATAATTGGGATTTAGTATCCCGCAAATTTCACGGCTTAACAGTCTAAAGGAGATAAAAACTTGGGCAATAAGGTTTCCATTTTTAATGGGCCTCCTAAAGTTATATCGCAAAAGCAAATTGCACTGAATTGTTTCCACTTCCTTGGCAAATGGAAAACAAATAAAAGTGTTTATTAAGGCCATTGTTCGCAAGATACGCGCGGTGTCGTTAAATTAATTATTTAATATCTTTCGAATTTATGATCACTTTCTTTATTTACAAACTTATTGTTTAGGGTAGAATGGGTACGATTGTAACAGGGTACAGTTGTAACAACTCGAACGTTCGAAACTATCTGTCATACAGGCTGTATGGACTTGTCGCCCGCATGTACCTACAGAGGGCTGAGCGTGAGTTTATATCAAACGCGCTCACTAGTGAGCACGTAAAAAAAAGACATTGAATGTATGACGGATTGTACAGCGCCCAGGATTGTAACATTCGAGTTGTTACAACCGTACCCAGTCTACTCTACTTACATTTACACACAATTTCACCGAAATAATGCGACGCTATAAATAACGTCCACGTTATTTATTATTCAAATATTTGGATGTTTAACGAAGGTTTCGTGAATATATTTAATATTCGAGTGGAATCAATTTAAAGGTTTTATTAACGCAATGGAGCATGCTTTCACGGCGATTGGTTCCGGAAAATGCGTGGCTTCGTAAAATATCAAGTGCGATCTAATTGAAAACGTTTTTAAAATGTCCTAATGGACAAACATAAAATAATTTATTTTTATAATAGAAACAACTCCGTGTGGGTTCTAGTAACCATTTTGAAAAAAAATACTGAAAGATGTAAGGCATTTAAGTTCTATTAACAGTTTTACCTAATTTGTAAGCTGAGTCTGAAAACTGAAAACATTTTGCAAGTTTCCCTAGACCATTGAACAAAAATGGGATATTTCGTTGTTAAATATTTGTCACTCAGCTACCATCAAAGAAATAATGGTTTATTTTTAGTTTTCCTTGTTTTCTTTAAGAACGATAATATAGCTATCGCTCTTAGCAAAAGACGAGTATAGCCCATTGCTATAATAGCACCAGTTGTAGCCTACATTCACACCAGTTGGCGGTGTATTTCTGTTTTTACGATATCCGCCGAATCCACGAGTATATCTGTTTGGTTTTACCTTTCTGGGAAGCGGGATATATCTTTGAGAAGCCCCACCTTGTTTCCTGGATCTGTGTTAGACATTTATTGGATTACAGGCGGATTACGTTTCGGACGATGCTACGGCCGATGTTCGGTAAATCGTGTCGCTATAGGTATAAGTGTGGGCAATTTTTGATGCTGGCAATCGATAAGTAAGCGATATTTTATTGTAAGGGTAAGGCGAAACTTTTAGAGGATAAGGACGACAAAATCACATCACAAATTACTCCTTCAAGTGAGACAGATTTTGATCAAACTTTACTTTATTAAGCTTGTACACTGGAATTGGTTAAAGGTAAAATGCTCGTGCTTATCAAGTCATCACTAACTATCAGTTAGTCTCCATTTAATTTGAATAATAGACCACAACAAAAGTATTAATATTACCTATTTTATAGGCCATACAGTGATCATCTGATAGTAATCAGTCATCGCATCCTATAAACATTACATAATTAGGTGAGCTGCTAAAATAGGTTTATAAAGTAAAAGAACGTAAAGCTCAAGACATTTTTGTTTCAAAATAGCACATAATACTAATAAATTAAAATTTTTATCAAAAATATTCCATCGTAACCTAATAAATTATAATAAGTACAAGGTTTCGTAAAGCGGGATATTATTAAAATAAACATTTTATTAATAAAACTAGCACATGCCACGTGCTCGCAAAGTGTTTACGGTTTGTTATTCACCATCATGATGATATTTACACTCATAACAAATAACATTATAAATATTTCGTTCATATAGCTCCTAAAGTGGCTCTTTAGAATCTCATTTATTGAGTTTGAAAACAATGATCAGCTGAAAGTTAATTCTTTCGACAGTAATTAAATTTCGTATAGGTATTTTTATACAGAATTCACCGTTTTAAATTCATTATTTTTTGTAAGTAATAGGTAATAGGTATACATTAATAAAGTGGAATGAAGCACCGAATCCTTTTCTATAATGTTCCGTATTAATGCTGAAGTGTATCTTACATTTGAACACAGAATAAAAAAAGGAAATAATTAACAAATATTTCGTTCTTTAATCATAATCTGTATCGTTCAGCGAACAAAGAACGAATGAGTAGTTACGCCGTTTGCGATTAGGTACCTAATTACCTCTTGTCATCAAGACTAATTGAATGAAGGCAAATAACGTAGATGCCAATTACACAGGTTTTGCGTAACTGTAACGAGATTCCGTGTAATGAATGATACCTACAGAATGTCTCGTCAATGACGATACCTAATAGAAATGTATAGTGATTGTAGGGCTTGGGAGATTTAACAAATGGAAAACTAGACATCCTAAAGCAACCTAGTTTTTTTGTGTCTAATCAGCTTACGAATAAGCCTCAAATTCATTTTCAACACACAGTTTCAACTACACCCAATTCTGTTGTCCACTCTTAGTACATCTACGATATGAACTGCGACAGCTAAGCTAAGCACTCCTTTATAAATACACGAAAAATGTGTTTTGACTTTTCTTAGTTACATTATAGTAGATAAAAAACAGGAAATCGATTTATGAATATTCAATTTTCAGAAAATTTAATCTAAAGACGTGAGAAAATAACTTACCTTTCAATAGCGGGGTAAACTTACCGTTTTAGGGAATTATCAACTTTGCGTAAAATACGATCTGTTGAATCAAATTCAAGATCCGACATTCTGCGAGTGCCTACGCCCAATTTCTTGGATTCCGTTCAACTCTGACCCTCGGAATGGAGAATGAAGTATTTTCATTACCACGACATAATATTTAGAGCCCTACCTACATCAGGCAGAATTTATTAAATTCAAACCTAAATTTCGACGCTGTGAAGTTACGACTGCCGCCAGCAGAATTTCAATTCGGAGCTACTCGTACCTATAAAATGGTAGATGTACCTAGTTAATTAATGCCCGGAACGGTAAAATATAAAACGTAATGCCGACTTCGAATGTTTGATCTAAAGATTCAGACATTTGTGGAAGACTTGATGTATAAAATATTATCTCGATGTAGGAGTTAAGAAAAGTCATCCAATTAAAAAACTTCAATTTCGTAATAAAAAATAACATTCAACTAAAACCTTCTAAAATAGAATCTTTTGACAAAGAAAATAAAAGAAATACCTACGGTTCAAGTTATTTCATCGCGTGATAGAAAAGTACTTGTAGAAGGCATAAGGGCAAATTCTCTGTCCTAAAAGATTAATGCTCGTATTTCGGCGAGGTGCAAAATGTGATACGTTTAATAGAGAGGTTTTCAGGCTAATAGGCCGTTCTCGGTATCCCTTGTTCGGCAGATTTACGATGTAGGCACTAAACCAAAGAACTTACATAACTTTTTCGCCTTGCAAGAATATATGCGACGATAAAATAAGCTTACGGAATAAAGAATGAAACATGTTTTGCGGGCTTATCGTCTTGATTCTGTAGCCATATTATGACAATAAATAATAGACGTTCAGATCTAGAAATTGTATCAACACATTTTTGTTTGTTTTATTGTTTTTATTGTACTTTCATGTGACAACTATTGCAATGAGGAATCGTTATCACGAGCTAGATTTTCACATTTTTCCAACAGAATAATTTTTTTTTCCTGAATACAATATTTGCTGAAAGCCATTATAATTTTATGGGACTCGTGCGTATCATATATCTGATACACGAGTACGAAATAGGTTAGGGTCAGGAAGTACGAGACGTGGCGATCGCACTAAGCTTAACATTGTGGAACTTATCTAGTTGCAATAAGAGCTATTTTTCAAGGTGTACTGTTGACATAAAACGGTAGACTAATGGTCCGGTCGGACCGGTGCCTACTACAGATTGTTTCCAATAGACACCGAATTAAAGCTAAAGCCTGTAAATTGAAACAAATTGTTCGGCTTCCAGTTTTTTACAATCAATCAGGCAGCTATTGCCTGTCCGTTTTTGATTAAATCCATCCCTGCTCGCATATTGGCTACAAACAAGTTGTATCACTGTTTGC